ACAAAATGTGTCATAATTTTACCGTTATTTTCATCTTTCATTAGACCCGGCACCTTTTTGTTCTTACGCAGTATTTTATATATGTTATTTTCAGGATAATCCGAAGTATCAAATTTACTGGAATCAGCTTTAATGATCTCCTCATATGCATCCTCACATTGCAATTCGTAGATAAAACTGTCTGTGTCCATGTACATGAGCTTACACCTTTCTGCACCCATTTTTGGTAGCATATAGGTGTAATGAAAATCGTACATGACTAGTTTCGATAGGTCTAGAATTGCCTGCCCTACATACAGAGGTTTGTTAAACGTTATTTCAGCCTTGTTCAATTCGATAACCACCAGATTTTCCTCTAAAATTGTGCGACTGTGGAACCGAAAACTCGAAATCAAGTTTGCTGCCCCATAGCGACCACCCCAAGATTTAACGATTTTACATACGCGGTATATTTTCCATGGTCTTACCGAATACTGCATTATTCATTAATTTAAAAAGATTTTTTTCGAAATCATTCCGGGCTGCAGCTCTACATCGAGTATTCAACTCGATGTAGGGTTTCAGCCAGGCTGCTTGTTTAAATTGTAAAATTTTATGGATTTTCGTTAACTTTAACCCATTAGCTAGCATTTGTTTTAAATTTTTATAGTGAACCGTGTACTCTTTTTTATCCGTAAGTGTTGTCATTAATTTCGGCAATTTTACCCCGCCGTCGCTGGGTGGTACGCTACGTTCTGCCGCAAACGGAAAATCTTTGTGTTTATCGTGCAGTTCTTGTGGGTACGATAGATCGACTTGTAGCACGTACCCTACGTCAGAGTCGTCGGGTATTGACATCACATCAAACGATGTTACATCATCTACCCATTTGAACCCTCCGTAGGGTAAGGGTTGCTGCATAGCATTCCCATATAAGTTATTCACATCCAGGTACATAAGGTACTTGGACGGCTTTTCAGGATCATATTCGGGCATATATTTATTGTTGGCCTCCGAAAATCGGTTGCTACACACCGAAATTCCACCTCTTATAGCATTTTCGTAAAACATCACCATATCTAGATCCTTTAGTAGTTCTAACTTACACCCAGTGTATTTGAGCATACAGTCCCACGTATATCCGGGCATTGTATAGTACCACGCAGGATCCAGACCATAGGTGGAGAAACATTTTTTACGCAATTGCTCAAAAACGTCGGCAAGAAGCAGAATATCTGTTTTTAAATATATATCAGAATACTCTCCTAATGTTTTAATGTTAAACTGTTGCCAAACAGATTGCGCATGAGCATACTTCTCGTCACTTACACTTTCATCGTTTAATTTATTGTAAAATTTTTCAATTGGGGGCAAAGTCGTTTCATTTAATTTTTTCAACGAATCAATGTAATCGTAACAGAAAACTCCTTTCTGTGTTAATAATTTGAATTTATCTTCATCTAAATTTTGAAATTCCCTTTGTAAAATTTTCTTTTCTGATTCTGCTAAAATTGAAGCTAATTCATCAAGAGACGCCCCCATAAATCGAAAAGAGTCTATAAACCGCAATTTAATGTTATTTTCATCTGAGTGCAGCGTAAAGGAGATGTATTTATCTTTGTTGATGGGAAGTAGACTTAAGCGACCTTTTTTACATAAATTCGAAATCATAAAGTGACTATCGTACCCACTTAAATTATGGAATATAACCGGCACAACAAACAATTTTCTAAAGTTCAGATTGCATGCTTGGTGTGCGTAACCTCTGAACTCTCCACTGAAATTTTTGTTTTTGAAAATCTCTTACCGCAAATATGACATGATGTTGCCTTACATGTGTCTAATTTTTCAATCATAGGTACGCTTGTTTTTATTTTTGAGTTTACAAATTGCGCAACACCAGCCATACGATTTGCAAACCAATCCATACAATCTGCACCTCGATAGCTCTCGAAATAAGAAAGGCTATCATCATAGCTGCATTTTACATAGAAACCAGCACTATACGGAACGTGTTTTTGATATTTTATGGTTTTAGTTAAATTTACGACGCTACTTTCTTTATGATTTTCTAATTGACATTCAAAATCTGCATAAACAACAAAAGGAGTATTTTGTTGGTATGTAAAGTTTTTAAATTCAACGCAGCTCTCTTTAGGAAGGTTAATTTTATATTTATTAAATTTAGAACACAGTTTTTCATGTTCAACTAATTTATTTTGCTGATGGAAATAGTTCAGACATCTATCGCAAATAAATTTTTTCTCACGATGTTTATTTAACTGGCTACTAATAAGACGCGAAAGATTTTTAATCCAACAATAGTGATATTTAATTTCATCGATTGAATCATTATCTTCATTCGCTAGTGGTGGAGGGGCATCATAATCATTTAAACGCGGATAATATTTATTTTGAGCTAAAAGTAAATTAACATGCGTATCCCGTTTATTTTCCGTTAATCTTGCTGGTACTACTATGTAAAATGATTTTTTTTCTGTTTCGATCAATTCTAAAGCGTAAACATTGACTGAAATGTTATTCATCTTTTCAAATTTTGAAATTTTTGTTAGCAGCATAGGACTATCTAAATTTTCTGTTTGTAAAACGTCAGTAAAGTGTGGATATGAGGAGGTTAGTTCTGCATGTCTTTTTTTGCTAGGAGTCCGAAGAGCGCTTACAATGGCCCAGTAAAAGCAATTTTGATCTATATTTTTAATGTTTATACAAGCATTTTTCTTTATAATCGGTTCTGGTAGTCTAATATAAGATGAACCGTTTCCCAATTGATATTTACTGATATTAACAACTAAGGAAATAATTTTATTTAACGCAAATCCCGAATCTTTTTCAGCAAATTCCGATAATTCGTTTAAAAGTTTATCTTTAACATATATCTTAAACCACTCGTCTATTTGAGTTGATGTATCAATAATATGATTTTTAGTATTAATATATTTAATTCCCAAAATTTCATTATCCCCCGATTTCCTAATAAACTCCCCGCAAAATGTTGTATTTACTTTGAGCGCACAATGGGTGTTCAAAATATTCCTAATTTTCCTTTTAAAAACAACTACACAATCTGCTAAAAATTGATTCAAGTCCTTATGACGCAAATTAGCTATGGAACCGGTTTTTATTCTACTTTGAAAGCTCGATTCTACATTTTCCCATCTAACCCTCTGACCCAATGTTAAGTGAAGTCCTGCCCCAATATGTCTAGTTAAAATCAACTTTCTAAAATGTTTAAAATGCCCCAAATTTGTTTCTACTTTTCTACAGGTCCCTACAGATAATTTATTTTGCCTTCTACTACGAATTACCCGTTTACATAATCTAATTTGTTTTTCTATTCGTTTCAGCCACACTTCCGCGTCTCTGATTGTAAAATTATCAAATAAAATTTTCCGTAGACTAACAATTGATAGTAGAACACCGTCTGTTTGTTTGATGATCTTTTTAACCTTATTTGAAGACATTTGAAAAGACGACATTTTTTTTTCAAGCAAACACATTACTCAAAAATATATAAAAATGCTCACCCTGTCCTCCTCCTGTTCTCTGCTTTGTTAATTTTCCACTATTTTGAATGATGCTAGCGGTCGGCTTTTCCCTACGTCCACTTCCCCTTGGAAGATGATCGAGTATTTTCCGTGAAAAAGTTCGTCGATGACCGGCTGGTACGTTTCCGTCACCCGCTGTGGTAGAAATAGCACTTCCGGTCCTAAATCTAGTAGCACGGCTTCCCCAAATTTCGACTTGACCACTTTAGCTGCTTGGATTGCAAATGGTGTCCCAACTGGTAGGTCCTTTAATTTTCTGATAGGTTTGCGGTCTACAATCGAAGACGCAGCATTAATTTTTGATAAATCCATCTATAAAAAAAATTGAGTCGTCTAACTATTTTGAAGCATAACACGAAAAAAAAAACAGTTGCATTTAGAGACATAAAAAAGAAAAATATTAAATAAAATAGCACTTACTTTTTTTAAAATTTTCGCTCTCTCGTCTCTCTCGAAGCACTAATTGTACTGCGGTCGTTGTTGCAGCTTGCAGCGTTGTGCGTTAAGTGTGAAACAATGATGACTATTGCATGCGCTCGCTCAATATAAGTACGTAGTAGAGATGACACACGCGTGCATGAGATAATTGTATCGTAAATATGCATATTATATGCATCATATTCTCAGTACCATTTTTATCGAGAAAACTGCATGCGCTCGCTCAATATAAGTACGTAGTTGAGATGACACACGCGTGCATGAGATAATTGTATCGTAAATATGCATATTATATTCATCATATTCTCAGTACCATTTTTATCGAGAAAACAACATTCATTGCGGTTGCAGTATTTTTTATATAATTTCTTAGTAATACATGAATGTATCGTTTGTCCGGCGGAAATTCCAATTACAAGTTGCACATGAGAGTAGAATTTTAGAAATATAGAAATTCGTGTATGATTATTGTATATTTGCTGCCTAATTTTTTTTCAGTCAAGATTTTGATTGGGGGGGTAAACGAATTTATATTTGCTATCTGAGATTTTTGACATCATTCTCTATCAAGATGTTGATGTGGGTAGACGTATTATTTTTTATTTCAACTTTCACATACGTGCTTTGCAACGATTTCTCCGAAAAAGACGCTATAGTATACCTAACTCAATATGAACATATCATCGATAATACAACAGATCTCTCTACTTTGCTAACTAACTTGCAAGAAAAGTATAATTTACCAGTGGATGGATTGTTGAATAATGCAACAATTGAATTTATGAATCGTCCGCGTTGTCAATACAGTGATGCTGAATTTAGAGCAAGTTTTCCATTTCGGAAACATGACCTGAAATGGTATTTCCCTCGAAACACACCTGCGGCCCAAAAAGATGCAGAAATGGCTTTTCAGATGTGGCAAAATGTTTCAAACTTAACATTTACAATGGTTACCAATCCCACTCTATATCCTCCTGATATTACTATAACCATGGTTAGCAAGACTCATTATTTTAGCGCAAACTGTATGGGTAATGATGAATGTCCATTGACATTAGATGATGCTGGCGGCGTTTTAGGACATGCATACTTTCCTGACTCTAGCGGCACCTGTAGAGAAATCCATTTAGATATAAATGAACGCTGGTATTTTGGAAATAATCCTAATATACCCAAAAATCAAACTAGTTTTCTTATGGTGTTGGTTCATGAAATTGGACATGCCCTCGGCATAGCACATAGTGCTTCTCCGAATGCTATTATGTTTGCCTTCTATCAGCATGAGATTCGTGGTCTAGATGTTGATGATATAAATGCAGTACAATATCTCTATGGAAGAAAAAACAAATATGATTCAATCCCAACGTCTACCACCGCATCAGCAATACCAAAAACAACAACAACTATAAGATCTACAACTCGTAAGCAGCCGATCCTCAAAAATTTGTGTGATATTATTCCAGATTTTATGTTTTTAGCTATTGCTCCAGAGTTTTCAAATTACCGATTATATATTGCACATGATATGTTTATATGGAAACTAGACTTAAACGAAATGATTATCCCATCTCAGCCTGAACTTCTTGTCGATTATGTTCCTACAGAATTACGTCAATACACTTTACAACATATTTTCCAATCAACAAACGGTGACTTGATTACCATTGTGTCTCCAAACAAATATTTCTCAGCATCATTCCCTACCATTAAATTTCTTGATAATTTTTCAATTGATATACCCGATAGGGCTCGAATCAATGCTATTTTTCAATCAAACGCAGGACGGTCCTATACCTTTTATAATAATATGTCATATATAGAATTTTCTAACGATTTTACTGATGTGTTGAACAGAGGACGGATAAGAGACATATTTCCTGAATTACCTGAAGATATTTCTCTCGCATTTCGATGGATTGATGGCCATATTTACTTTTTCCGTCACGCAACTTACTATAAATTTAATGAATTTACAAGAAAAGTTGTTGCGACCGGACCATTTCATTGGACTCTATTTGGAGTACCATGCCCCAGCGAGGATTTGTTACATCAACTAAAAACTCTGTTATCTAAACTTGTATCTGTATATCATTAAAAAATACATTTTTCAGAAAGCTATGTTTATTTCGTATTCAGCCTGTTGTCAAACAAAAAAAAAACAGTCGGTTCCTTCGACTCCCCACCCCCCCCACCATCATTCTACTACATAAAGTTTCATTTTGAACGGTATCATCCTGTATAATAATAACAGTACATCGTATACAGGTTATGAGACATTCTGACCGACCGACCGACCGACCAGAGGAGCCCACCACGCTATTTAGGTCACGCCTTGCTATATACGATTTAACGATATACCGTCGGTCCATCGATCCGCTATTTTTCGATGCACCCCTGTATACACGTTCTGAATGCCCCCCGTAATCCACGCCAACACCAGACAGGTGCGACATCGGCGCCATCTATGCGCGAGATGCCCAACCCATCAATGGCAGCTGTCCAATGACACATAGATTCCGTTTGGTTTGTACAGCGCCAAACAAATCGGCGCCATCTATGCGCGAGATGCCCAACCCATCAATGACAGGTGTCCAATGACGTATGACAGATGACGTGTAACGCCATCTATGCGTGAGATGCCCAATGACGCATGACAGGTGTCCAATGACACACAGATTCCGTTTTGGTTTGACAGCGCCATCTAGCGGCGGAATCCCCAACTCATGATTACAGATTCCGTCCAACAACCTGTCAATGGCGCGCGACGCCAGCGCCTCTGGTGGCGGATTTTGGAAGTTTTGAGACCGAATCCCCATAAGACATCTACTTATTTTCAAGCTTTTCCAAGATTTTTCAAGATTGTCAAGATTTTCAAGATTTTCAAGATTATCAAGGTTATCAAGATTATCAAGAATATCAAGACTTAAGATTTCGTGAGATTCCTAAGGTTCTTAAGACTTCAAAGATTTCCTAAAAGTCTCACGATTTCTAAGAGTTCTACGATTTCTAAGAGTCCTAAGTGTTCTAAGATTCTCAAGATAACTCAAGATTTTTCAAGACTTTCAAGAAATTCAGGGTTTCCAAGATTTTCAGGGTTTTCATGATTTTCAAGAATTTTAAATATTTTAAATATTTTCAAGCTTTTCCAAGATTTTTCAAGATTTTTCAAGATTATCAAGATTTTCAAGATTATCAAGGTTATCAAGATTATCAAGATTATCAAGATTTTCAATATATTTAAGGTTTTAAGCTTTTCAAGATTAGGAAGAACCTAAGCAGTATTAGTTCATCCTTTTTGATTAATAACTGAACATACCACATTTACTGTACCGCCACAATCACCAGCCTCTAGCGGTCAGTGGTGACTGGGCTAACAAACGCGAACTGAGATCTTTACAGTTGCAACCGATAGTTGATATACACTCGCACAGTGGTTGATTATGGTAAAACCATCCAAATACACAAGGCATTTTTATCTGCCATACCTTCTATACTTGCTGTTGTCTATAAGACGTGGTATAAAACCTCATTTGAGACAAACATGTTAAAAGTTGTCAGGTATTCATCAAGTCGAAGGTAGTACCGGAGTAATTCGAATATCATCGTTAGTAGTACTCTTATCTTATCACCGAATAACGGTCCGCTATCACAAAACGATACACCATCATCAATCCCGATAAAAATCTGTTCAATTACAGCTGGTAATGGCAAATTATTACTTTGTCACCTCTTCATCTGTACGCATACCTAACCTCACAAATGAACTGTGAGAATTTTTCGTACGAGACTCGCTTACGGTAAAACCACTTAGCTAACATAGTACAGAAAAAATCGAGGTGTAATGTGATCGTAACTTTTGCAACTTTGCAATATGTTCTTCTCTGCTGGTTCATAATCCAGGGATCGTAGATTGTATCTTTGGTATTGTCGCATCAAAACTCTGACGTCATCAGTCTGTAGCTTGGAAGTTACAAACATCTCAAGTCGATGTTCGCAATGTTTCTGAGAATAAGAAAAGAGAATTGTCAAATCAAGAATTATTCCTTGGTTTCATCACAATTTCCGCCACATATGATCAACAGATTAGCTTTACTGACATTTCGATTGCTATTGCAGCAGAAACGGGACTTTCACTACCATTCAAGCCATTTTTTCAGGCTTGCCACGTCTTGACTGATTAAACTTGCAACGAATTCCTTTCCCATGATGACTGAACTAAAGCTTTCACAGACGTAGCCATATCTCCAGGTTTTTTCTTTCTCTATCTCGCATACGAGTCGTATAAATAAGAGATGAACAGGCACACTTGCTGTTAGAGGTGATGAACATTTATCATAACGTATGGTTGAATGGCATGGTACGGCAAACACCTGGTGGTTCATCGATGGTACCTCATAGGCTGCGATTTAGAATGGAACACCGTTTAGTTTAGCTTGGAATGAAAGGATTCATTAATCAGTATATCGTTTGATACGTGTCGGAGGTGTAGCTAACGAGATAGACAAATAATGCCTAAATACAACGGCCTCTATAAAAGACATATTACTACGACTATATTTGAAGATTCCTGAGATTCCTTACAGTCCCAATATTCTCAAAATTAACGAGATTCTTGAGAGTCGTGAGATACCTAAAATTCCTAAGGTTCTTAAGATTTCAAAGATTTTTAAGATCCCTAAGAGACCTACGATTCTTAAGAGTTCTAAGATTCTCAAGATTTTCAGCAATTTCAAGCATTCCAAAATTCTTGAGTTCTCAAGATTCTCAAGTTCTCAAGGTTCTCAAGATTTTCAAGGTTCTCAAGATTCTCAAGGTTCCCAAATATCTCATGATTTCCAAGATTCTAAAGATTTTTAAGATTTCCAAGAATTACAATATTTTCAAGATTATGAAGGCTCTCAAGAATTTCGACAATTTCAAGAATTTCAAGATTCACATCATTCTCAAGATTTTCAAGGTTTTCGAGATTCTCAAGGTTTCGAGTTTTTCATGATTTTCGAGATTTTCAAGAATTTCTCGAATTTCAATAATTTCAAAACTCTCAAGATCCTCAAGATTGTCAGGATTCTCGAGATTCTAAGGATTTTCAAGATTTCCAAGATTCTCATGATTTTCAAGATTTTCATGATTTTCAAGATCAAGATTTCCAAGAATTTCACGAATTTCAAAAATTTCAAGCATTCTAAAATTCTCAAGTTCTCAACATTCTCAGGATTCTCAAGATTCTTCAGTTCTCAAGATTTTCAAGGTTCTCAAGGTTCCCAAAATTCTCATGATTTCCAAGATTCTAAAGATTTTTAAGATTTCCAAGAATTTCAATATTTTTAATACTATCAAGGCTCTCAAGAATTTCGACAATTTCAACAATTTCAAGAATTTCAAGATTCACATCATTCTCAAGATTTTCAAGGTTTTCGAGATTCTCAAGGTTTCGAGATTTTCATGATTTTCGAGGTTTTCAAAAATTTCACGAATTTCAATAATATCAAAATTCTCAAGATCCTCAAGATTGTCAGGATTCTCAAGATTCTAAAGATTTACAAGATTTTCAAGTTTTTCAGGATTTCCAAGATTCTCATGATTTTCAAGATTTCGAGATTTCCAAGAATTTCACGAATTTCAATAATTTCAAGAAATATAAAAATTCCAAAATTCTCAAGATTCTCAAGTTCTCAGGATTCTCAAGAATCTTACATTCTCAAGATTTTCAAGGTTCTCAAGATTTTCAAAGTTCTCAAGATTCTCAAGGTTCCCAAAATTCTCATGATTTCCAAGATTCTGAAGATTTTAAAGATTTTCAAGATTTTCAATATTGTCAAGATTATCAAGGCTCTCAAGAATTTCTACAATTTCAACAATTTTAAGAATTTCAAGATTCACAACATTCTCAAGATTGTCAAAATTCTCAAGTTTCTGAAGACTTTAAAGATTTTCAAGGTTTCCAAGATTCTCAAGGTTCTCGAGATTTTCAAGATTGTCCAGAATTTCACGAATTTCAATAATTTCAAAAATTTCAAAATTCTCAGGAGTCTCAAGATTCTCAAGATTCACAAGATTGTCAGGATTCTGATGATTTTAAAGATTTTCAAGATTCTCAGGTTTTTCAAGGTATTCAAGATTTTCAAGATTCTGAAGATTTTAAAGATTTTTAAGATTCTCAAGGTTCTCAAGATTATTATGAAAAATTATTTATTGAGTTGAAATATCTACTACAAGTTAGAGAAAGCATTTAAATAATCTGAGTCATTACCACCGTAGCTTGAATTGCTGAATTTTTAGCAAACAACTGTCAGTGCTTTTATCCTGGATATAAAAATGACTTCCAAATAACTGTCCATGGAGGTGATTAAATATTAATCAGTATAAGAGTATATATTGTATCGTGGCCAGCGATGCATTTTACATAAATACATCATTACTA